ATCAGCACAGACTTGTTTTGCAGGGCAGCCAATTTCCCAAGGTTGTACTGCATAGTCAGGAGACTCATAGTGTTTAAAGGTGAAGGTCAAAGCCCAGCTATTTCAGTTAAGGCTGTGTTTGCCTGTAATTCTGTATTGGACTTTCCCTGGGGGATTTACAGCAGGCTACTCCTAATGCTCAGAATCCTCTATACATGCATGAACGTATTCAAGACATCATCAAATTCTTCTATGCTCATTGTGTAATTTAAGGTGACTGGTGGGAGCAATAGCTTACAGCATGGACTCTTTCACAGCTGGAGTTCAAGAACACCATATGCCTTTCCTGAAGTTCATTGTGCACAGGTAGGTGAGGCAATCTCCTGTTTGTGAAAAATTATAGTGAAAACCAGATCTTAACACACTGCCTTTGTGCTCTGACCTACCTTTTTGGCTCTGTAGCAGCAACAACAAAATTTTCTTTGATTATTATACACCATACATTTGAAGAGCAGAAAGGATCTGTTTCCAGCTGCTGTCTATTTTGGGCTTCCTATTCTGTCTTCTCCCTCTCTGTGAGACTAGAGGAGAGGCAGCCTTCTGGAAATCAAAACAAACCAGATATTAAACTACTGACAGAGTCACAGTTGTTGCCTCTTTGGTATCAGTGGTTTGAGTAGAAAAGAGACTTTGAAGGAGTGGTAGCCACTATGGATGTTGTGTTGCTTAAGATTTTACAAACACCTGGAGGGGTGTGGAACCACCTGTGATGTATATTAAAAATGTTATGTGCAAATTGGGTGTTGTGTGTTCCAAGAGGAACAAATGGTAAGCATCGACAGAAATGGCTTCTGTGGGAGGAATTCCTTCTGGGTGGTTTTTTAGTGTGGTTGTTTCCTGATCTAAAGATGGCACAATCAGACTATACTAACCGTTTTCTGAAATGATTCAGAATTCTTTCCTACTTTTCTCCAAAACTGTAAAAATTACACTGTCTTAAATCTGCAAGTTAATCCTGCCAGAGTTTCTGTTAAAGAAAAGCCTATCTGTTTACAAGACCTGTTTTTTGTGAGGATGGAAGTTTATACTTTGGAGAGTGGAGGGGGTTGGATTCTGCTACCCTTTTCCTTCTTTTATAATTTTCTTTTTTTTTGGCTTGAATTGACAGCAAGGTTCTGTCCTTGTCCTTTGTGTTCGTGAGTCTCAGGAGAGCAGCACATACCATTTCTGTGCTATTTTTATTCCTTCTTGTGGTGATCTGTTGGTACTTTTAGCCTAAATCGTATAACCTTGAGGATTAAGTAACGGCAGTATGGGAAGTCATTTCTGGAAGAAAGTCAGTTGTTTTGCTGAATGAGAAAAGGGAAGTTTTTGTTGTCTGGAGAGGATTCTTGAGTAGCTTTTTATCTTTGATGTTTTTAAGCTATTAATTACATAAATGTCTGGGGCAGTGTTTTTCACACTAACAGAATAATTAATCTTAATTGCTTTGATTGTTTTGCCATACTTGAGTGGGTGATTAGAAACGGCTTTATATCCCAAAACAGAATAAGGTGCTTACCCAAATGTCTGTGAGTTGGTGACATGGTTTAGTGTGAGGTGTCCCTGCCCATGGCAGAGGGGTAGGACCTAGATGATCTTGGGGTTCCTTTCCAACCCTAACTATTCTATAATTCTATGATTTGATGCGTGGAAGATGGCAGTGCATCACTGACACTGCTCTAGTGATACGACCTCCTTTCTGCATCATTCTTCAGCCTATTTGTGTATAGAGATTCCCTCATGAAACAGTAGATTTATTGTGACTGCATCTTTATAGACCTGCTTTCCCTAGGTTAGAGACAGCCAAAGCATGAGTGACAGGGTTCAAACAGTGGTTCTGATTGTTGGCCATCTGTCAAGTGTGGCAGTGTACACATGCCCTGGTAATGAAACAGGGTCCAAACTTGCCATTCCCTCATGTGGACCAAGCACTTGGTAAATTTCCTTCTGGAACCACTTGGTGATTTTACATTATTTTAATGGTCTTTGGATGCCTTTGAGTATAACTTTTCCTTTGGAAGAAGTCAGCTGATGAGCAATTCTTCTGCTGCTGTTGAGAATATCAGTTCTGTGTTTGAAAACAAATATATACATAATGTACACACATGTATGGTACATACATAAAATATATAAGTCCAATGGAGAATTAGAGCTAAATGCAGCCCTATCTTAAGATGGACTTCCTTCTTCATCTTTAAATGGCATGGATCTCCTTTGCATGTATAGCAGCCTCTGGGAGATGGCTTTCCTCCAGGTCTTTGCTGATCACACTCACTGAGAGTATTGAGATTAGACACATGTGTATAGAAAGACATAGGAAGACTGGAAAGTCTGGAAACCCATGTGAAAATTGTGTGTTAACTGCTGGCAAGCAGCCAGGGCAAATATGTGAGAAAATTAATATCCTTTTTTCCAGATAGCTGGGCAGTGTTTGGCACTCAGGTCTCTCCTGGGCAGTTAGGGATGCACTTATGTGCAGTAGAGCTGTAATTCTGTGTGTTTCCCCATTATTCTTAGTTCTAAATTTGTCTTCACCAACAGTGCCACATGCTGAGAGTCAAGTGGGGCTTTTTACACCTGTATCCACAATGATATGTCTTCTAATGAAATTCATTGTGTACTTAATACTTTTGGTTTAGGGCATTAAGTCAGTAGCAGGAATAGGGAGCCCAGCTCTCCTGCCTCCCAGCTGAGTACTTAGTAAGCCCAAACTGATGCTTTGTCAGCTCAGAGCAGCCAAAACTCCTTTGTATTGTATTCTGTCTGGCTATGATTTCTACCTGGGTCATATTAGTGTCTAAGCTGTACCCAACAATTCTGATGTACATGTAAGGGATGTCAAGATAGAAGGTGCTTTAAATGATAATCACTCATAGAATCCTAGAATGGTTTGGGTTGGAAGGGACCTTAAAGGTCACCCAGTTCCAATCCCCTGCCATGGGCAGGGACAACTTCCACTAGAGCAGGGTGCTCCAAGCCCCAGTGTCCAACCTGGCCTTGAGCACTGCCAAGGATGGGGCAGCCACAGCTCTTTGGGCAACGTGTGCAAGTGCCTTATATCCACTTACGTTTCTATACAGTTTATTTCCTGAAGGTCCTACACTTACTGACTGCTGATTAATTGCTGTACAATTTTGGCTGAATATTTAAATCCCTCCTAAGTGCCTTCAGTCCTGTAAGCCCTGGAAGCTGTAGAACTTGCAACAGCAGTAGTCTTTCTGCCTTTGGAGACCTCTCCATGTATGTAGCTGGTGAGGATTAAATTACAGAGAAGGCAGTTAGGACCTATACCCAACAAATTCTCTGCTGAGATTAAGCAGTTGACAGAGAGGTCTTGTTTCTGCTTACATAGGTTTTTCTTAATAAGCTCCAGCAGATCTATGAACAATTTAGTTACTACGGAGTTTCTCAAGGGTGCATTTGAAAAATTAAGGAAACTTGAATTTTCGGGATGATTTTCATGACTGCCTTGTCTGCATGTGGCAAAGTGAGCTAGGATTTCCATTTTTCCTGCATGGTTCTTGCTTTACTTTCTCTTTCTCTGCCTGTGAACTTTATGCAACTGAAGGAGGAGAAACTCAGCAGGAATCAGTCAACTACTGAAAACTTCAGAATTGTTGTTTTAAAACTGCAGAGATGTTTTAAAGCTGGTTTTACTGCTGAGACTGGAGGGAGGAAAGGATTTTAAAGTGGCATTAGGGCATAAGAGCTATTGCAGAGTCCAACTGTCCCTGGGTTTTGAATTACCAGGCAGATTTTTGAAATAGCATAGTATTTCATGTTTGACTTCAGCCATTTTATTCTCTAACAAGGAGGAGGAATCCAGGGCAAGAGTGTCAGCTGAATTGTAAGTGAATAAAATTACAGGCTGTGGCTGGAAAAGATCATTTTCGGTGATACCTAAAATAGCCTGGGATTGCCAGGTAGGTTGTTCTTCTCCCTGTTCAGAGCTCCTCTCACCAAGAGCAAAGGAAATGTATTTTTTGGGTACTATTGACAGTGAAAAATGGTGTAAGATACTACTTAGCACCATTCAATTACTTATTTAGCCAGGAGTATACACAGCTATTGAAATGAACTGCTAACCAAAATATAAGACAGGTAAATTTAAATGTAAAAGAATACTCCTCATTCTTCCCTGCTGTCCTTTTGAAAAGTAGATGTTTGGGCATTTGTGATAGATTGATGCAGTGCATCACTGTGTCATTTCTGAGCCATATATGGCTTTTGTAGTTAAAGCCAGCATCAAAATATGGACTAGAAATCAGCCAAAGTTTTCAGATGGGAAAACCCAAATAAATTCCCTGTTAGTAATGGTTTTACTCCTGGTGTCAGGCTGTATAGCCAAATGGCCTATTTAGGCTTCACATTGAGGATCCTGTTGAGATTCAAGTTACACAAAGGTTTTAAGGGTTAATATTTTCTTGGTTTTAGGACCCAGCATTTTTTGTGAGATAATCATACTAAAAATGTATCTATATTGTCCCAGACCTGCCAGTGAACTTGTAAAATCCATTTCCTAAGCCCTAATTTGGACATAATCAGACAAAAAACCTGTGTAAAAATGGTTTATACCTGCTGTCTACACGATACACTGCCGGCTGGTATCTGGGTATTACTGCATACAGTGCTTCTGCCAAGATCAGGGTGTTAAATAAGCAGCCTGTCCCTGTGGACAGCGTTGTCGTTTTCACAGCTGTGGTCTAAGTGTCCAGCAGATGGTGCAATGGGCTTTTTTGTTGGGTGGGTGTTTTTTTGTTTTTTTTAGCTACAGAATCTGGAGGTTTCCGTTGGGTTGAAATTAAATGATTTGTATGCTCTGATCTGAAGGTAACATTTTAAAAGAAATGAATTTAAAAAATATACAGCTTCTATATTATTTTTCTGAAGAAATCGGTTGAATTTGATACACATTTTTATAACACCTTCCCTGTCCTTATAAATACTTCTGAAAACAGAACAAAATTTTTAGGGAAGCCATGACTTTGCTTAATCCCTGTAAATGGAGAAGTGCAGACTTTATTGCAGCATCTGACAAAGTGGGATATAGCACCTGTACCTCCTGTAAGGAGCAAGAGTTGCTTGAAGATGTGTCTGCAGATGGTGAGTTCCCAGTATAGTATGTTTCCAGTTCGTAGTTTAAACCTAGTTACTTTCTACCTCTAGACAGCAATTTCTTCATGTTAATAATTGGTGTCAGACAAGACATTGCTATATTTCCACTTAATAATGATTAATTACAATTAAATAGATGACTGCTTTTTGCACAGATAGATAAAAGGTCTGCCTATTTGTTCTTGATGTTGCCCTTCGCATACAAAATCAAAGGGTTTAATTTGATGCTGAAAATTGAAGGCCAGAATGCTGTTGGCCAAATTTCTGCAGAATAGCCCAAGATATCACTACTGGTTTTGAGCAGAGTTGATGACAATTTTGTAATTCTTATGCGAAAAACCCCTAAGCAGGCAAACACCGCGCCCCCCCCGCAAATCTATGTATATATATTTTGAGGTTACAATTAGCAGAAATCACAGTAACAGAAAATCTTAATAACAGAGAAGTGCAAAGATGTAATGAACTTGCCCCTCTGATTCTCTTAAAATGTGCTCACCAACTTGTCAAAACTTCTGAGAAGCTGTGATGTGGAAAAATGCACACTGAGGAATTGAGAGAAGTTGTTGAAGTTCTACAGAGGCTTAAATCCCTTGCAGCAGATGCTGCTTCAATATTCCCTTTTACTCAATTTCTGAGTAAGCTACACAAGCTTAGCTTTAGAGCCAGACGTGATGAGTAAGAAGAAAATCGTGTAGTCTTTAGAGGCAGAGTCAAACTGTTTTTAGAAGAGTATGCACAAATTCCTCCCAGGGTTATATGGGCTTGCTTCACCAATTTGCTCACGGTATTTATTTGTCAACCTCCTGTTAGTAATGGAAAAGTCCTCATACAGCTGAAGACCTGAACAACGGAAATGCACTGAAAGTGCAATAGGCTTTACTGTAATCATGAAACCACAGTCTATAGATATTTTACATCTCTTAAAATTGTGTTTCTAACTCTCCCTTTTATGGGCTCCTGAATGCAGTGTTAATGTGAATGAAATGCTATCAGATTCAATTTAACCCTAACCCTAACCCATTCTTGTGCCTGATGGATTTTGATGGTAAAACAGCTATAGGCCACTTAATTTATTTTAACAGATGTGGGTGCCAGGATCCAAGTTCACATCCAGAGTTCAAACACTAACTTTTTAGGCTGCTGTGGGGCTTCCACTCTAAGCTATTCAGATGTAGACCTGATCCAAACTGCAAACTGTAGTACGTTAGCACAAGCTTTGTCTAAACTTAACAAGAAGCAAGAGTGCTACAGCAATACAGTTGAATGGGGTTTTGACTGGAGATGTTGAGAGCCTGACTGATTTGGAGGATATGCTCTTTCACAATTGTGGCCAAAAGGCAATAGCGTGGAATGCTGGAATTCTTACCAAAACTATAAAAGTCCTTTAAAAAACCAACTGATGCACTTCTCAATGTGTTGAGTCAAATCCTGAAGCCCATTGATTCTGTCTTGCCTACAGTAGAATCAATACCCAGTGTCCCTAGTAAACATTAATTGAGAAGTCTTAAGTTAGTACTTCTTTAATAGAAGACAAGTCACCATTTTCTTTCCTTCTATTTTATCTCATAGAAGCAACACTAGAATTTGTGTCAAAGGGAATGGCGTGTGGCTGATCTGTGTGGTCTTTGTGAACAGAGAGAAGTGCTCCCATCATCCAAGCATCTTGTTTTTAATCTCTGGGGAGACCTGCAAATAGATATTCAGTGTAGCTGGAGCTTTAGTAATATTTAAACAGGTGAGCATCTTCCTCTCACACAGTATAAAAGGACAAACTAAATAAAGAACAATAAGGGGATGGTAGAGTAAAACCAAGTCAGAGGCATGCAGAATTGTGGTTTTTGTTAGGAGCTCTTCTAATACTCAGAAATCATGTCTTTTAATCTCACATATTAAAGCCTCAGGCATTACTAAATTAAACAGATTATTTAGCTATTTGATTTTAAGATTTAGGGAGAGCACTCCTGAGTTATCTGTGCAGCAAAGGAGAGAGGTGTATACAGCCTACTATTTCCTGATGAAATTTATGCACAGCATCTTACATTTATAATTTTAAGCCTGTCACTGTCACTCAAGCTCAACTTTCTACCACACCTCAGTTATGCTTAGGAAAACATACCCAAGATTTTGCTATAAACAGGAAGTAATGTAAGAGATAATAGAGTGCCAGAATTTTAAGTATGTTTTATATCTGTAGAAATCTGTAGACCAAAGCTGGAAGCAGTGAACAAAAGTAATCACTGTGCATTATTCTTCATCTTTTTGCATTTAATAGTCTGATTTTAATTTTGAAAGGCTTGCTAAGCAGCATTGCTACAGGACTAGGACACCTTCTGTCTCTTTTCCAGGATTTGATATAGAATGCTAATTTTAAGTAACTTTTCTGATGGCAGCTGAGTTAGCCTAGAAATTATTTAAATAAATCTGATCTAACTTGCAGGGAAAATATTTTAAGATTTTTCCTTCTGAAAGTGTATTTTTTTAATATCTCTGATTTCTTCCAACTGAAATATCTACTGTATTCACAGAATCCTTACCCCTGCCCTTTTTCTTCCTTCCCAGGCAACAGAAAATAGACATTTTCCATATATCTTACAGCAATAAGTTATTAATGAACTCCATAGATTTTTTCAAGGATGACTTGCTGTCTTCTCTCTTGAGTCAGGGTCTTTTTCTTTATATCATTTGTATGGCCTTCACCCGATGTGGTAATGTGGCCTTGATTCAACCAGAACTGGAGCAGGGATCGGATGGGCAAAGCGATCTCCCATTCTGGGTCTTGCTTGAGGTGCTATTACAGAACCTGGCAGAAAGAAAGCTAAAGAGATTTATTGAAGAAGCTTTTACAGTTAGGGCTATGCAGATTATAGAAATCATCATAATGAATTTGGTATAATATGGAATTCAGAGAAAAGGGCAAGTATCTAACCAAAATTGCATTGAGTGCTAAAAAAAAAAATAAAATCAGTGATGTTGGATGTGTTGGAGATCCAGCTTGATTTGATTTTTTAAATTTTTTTATTTTTTATTTTTTTAGGATTTATCACCCAGTTTATTCACTCTAATTCAGACAGATTAAAGCATAAACCTCAGCTATCACCCTGCAAATATCAACAGGATTAAATAATATAATCTTTGGAGACAAGTGTTTACATCAAGTAATTTAACCAATCAGTTAAACTTTTCCTTCCCAAGCATGTCTTTCACCTCCCTTACCTGCAGTGGAGATCACCTGCATTCAGTTTGGTTTGCATTAATAATTTCCAGTAAGAGTTCAGTATGTGAAATGAAGCGAGAATGCTTATAGAGCTTTACAGTGGACTGAAGATATTGGTATCTGTGTTTTGAAAAAGGGCACTTCTGTACCTGCAATGATCCTATATGGATAGCTATACGTAAACATTAACCCCCTGTATTTGTATTTTGTTCCACTGAGGAGCTGACCTCACTTGTTGCTGGCATTTGTTGAACTGGAGGATGGTTGGCCACTTCTTTCCCAGGCTTCTGGCTGTTTCAGCTTGAAGAGAGAACTCCCAGAAACATCCTCCCTTATCAATAGTTTATTAAAACCTTTGCCAGACTCAGAAAGAAAAAGTAGTCGTGATAGAAACCAGGGGACAAGGGAAGCCTTTATGACCATCTGTAGCACGTTCAGTCTCTTCCTTCTTGTGATTTTTCTGCTTAAGGGTCGAGTGATGCTACCTAGTGAGCCAACTAGCCAAGCTCTTTTACTCCCACTTTATTTATTTTGCCCCAGCAGGTCCCTTTGGCAACCTCTCTGCCTGGGAGGGAGCCCTAGGGGCTGGGTAAAGGTGGTGTTCTCCGTGCATGGTACCTTTACCATGGCTGGGCCATGTGGTATATGCAGGGAGCTGCTGGATTGGTACCTGCACGAGTTTTGTCTTGAGTGCAGATGTGTTTTGTTGTTTGGTTTCAAAGAATTCAAACCAGTTGCATCTTCTCATCCCAGAAGAGATGTGGAGAGGCAGCTCTTGTGGCTCCAGCCTTTCTACTTGCTTCTCCCTTTTTTCATCTCTCAATAAACTTCTTCCACTTTTCCAAAGAAACCAGCTTCAGTTTTCTGAGAATCAGAAGACTGAACCAGAATCAGTCTTCTGAGTGTTGCAGGTTTTGTTTTTTTCTTTGTTGCTATTCACATTGCTGCTGCTCAGCTTGGTTTTGTTATTACAGCTGTTAATATTGCATGATAAAATGAACTGTTAATTGCTGAACCTCTGTGGAGCAGACAACAGGCTGCTTACTGCCTGTGGTAGATGTGGGAATCTGTCAGGGACTGTTGGGATTCAGTGTCAGATCAATTGTGCACTGGAGGTTTGCATCAGAAGGTAGTTTGCAAGTGAGGAAGCAGATCCGGTATTAAGCATATTTTTCAAACTGAGCAGTTCCTCCCTCTTGCTGAAAGGTGCTCCTTGAAATGTCAGTCCGGCTTACCTATAAATTACTTGCTGGGTTGTAAGTGGTACTAGCTCATGTTAGTACTGCCAGAAGCTGCTACAAGTCATATTTCTCTTGATGTAGGAAATGGAAATGTTTTTCTGTCATAGGTTTGTCTAAAACAGTGCCCAACATTGTAGGAGCTATTTAGAGACATTTGCAATTTACAAAATAAACCTTATCAGTCCTCATGAATGCTGATTTCTGTTTTTTTCCTCTTTCCCCTACTTATTTCAATAAGGACCAGCTGTCTCTGCTGCCTGCCTTTGTATGATTTGCTGTTATTTAAGGAAAGTTGATGCAGATTTGTTGTTTTCACTTATTTTTTTTATGAACATGTGAGGATATTTTACCTCCTGGGCAGCACACTCCCTTCCCCCCCTCAGCTCATTTTTTGCTCTTTCAACAGTATTAGGGAATACTATTTAGAAATATAGAAGGCAAAAACTGGAGAACAGCTTGCTGAGTGGGTCCTTCAATTTGAGACTAGACAAATCATTCCATATGAATTTATGATCCAATATGATAGCATAAAG